ACGAGATCAATAATTAATCATTGTTTTTCTGTTATTCTCTCTTCCTACCAAAAACTGGATGATAAAAGTCTTCAGTCTGATGCTTTTGTCTCAACTAGCCCTTTTTTTGAAGGATTTGTGTTTGTAGGGACTTCAGTATCCATTTTATTTGTTTTTCGGGTGTTTTGTTTATGTGTGAAATTTAAAATGTTTTCCAGCTCCAGTGTTAAATGTTTGTTGGATATCGAAGTTGACTGATCTTTGAGAATGTGTTCTTGCATTATTATGCCATCATTATTATTTTATTTGAAATGTGTCTCAAAACATTATTCTTTATTGCAATAACTTCTGGGAAAATGCTGCTTTTACCGCTAAATTTCCCCTGACTTGTCTAATCTAAAATAGTTGAAATAAATGAAATGGATCTACCCAGGGTTAACGTGTAGATGTATAAAATAAGATAACATCTTTACAGCTTACAATGAAGCGTTTCAATTTGGCCACCGATTTAATTTCTACTCAATTTTAGTTGCTTTAAGTGAAGCAATTTGACAAATCTGAACAATTTTGTCAGTAATATTTTCTTTGTGATTTTAACGAAGCCAAACCTGAATTGGAAATGTTCGATTTCATTCATCTTTCAGCTTCTTCTGCCAAATCGTTTTGTTTCCAGCATGAATTCCCAAATCTGAAAGGTTCTGTTTTAATATCACAGCACTGAGCAACTCATCTATAATTTATCGACAGTCAGAGCCACCTGTGTAAACAAACGAACACTGAGCCCTTAAGGTTTCAAACTATAACTACGTAACTATCCTCAGTTTGGCTCTGTTCTTCAGGTCACTCCATCAGACCTGCAGTCCTTCCACTTCATAACACAACCCTTCATTTATGAAGTTGCCGATTTGTTCTTCTTCCACTTATCTTCCCTGCAAAGTCCATTAGCGAGCACGGCAGCGACAGCTCCATTAAGACGCTACATCTATGATTAACGATGCAGAAAAAGATGCTTTACTGTAAGAAGGAGAATTCAGAGGAAGCCGTGATTTCAGGAGGTGACAGTTCATGAAACCAAACCAAAGTACAACGTGTGTAGCATTTTCTGTTTCCTATTAGTATCAATAATCTACTAATTTCTTTTTTTTTTTTTGTATAATACCTCTCAAAGTCTAAGAAACTTTAATTTTGTACAGAATACTTCACACTGGAACTGAAAGATATTTTAATGATCCAAAATAAAATATGACAAAAAATAATAAATAAAAAACAAAAAAGTGCCACTTACAACCAAAGCTGTAAGAAAATGGATTATGACGTTTCTACAATCTAAATTTAATTTATCTTACATTAAAATCTACTTTGATGATCGGAAATGTTGGAGTGTAGTTACTTTTTCACAGCACTGTAATGTTTTTCTTCTAGCCAGGGGTGAAGCTGTGGAAACAGCTGACAGCTCTCGTGTAACTGGCGCAAAGAAAATTACATTTAACAGGTTAAATCTTGACTGTTCTAAATACCAAACAAACCAGTTTGCTGTCGTTATGAGATCAGCAGCCGCCTGAGGGAAACTGAAACGTTATTTAATTAACAACAGGAACAAAAGTTGAAATAAGAACATTGCATCTGACTTTTTCCTACAGGCAATGACACAGCTGTCTGCTTGAACGGCTATCTCCCTCCACTGCTGCTTGGAAACTTACAATCTACTATAAATAGGCAGCACAAAACTGCTGTGGCCGATACAATACAAGTAGAGGATGGTCTGCATCAATTTGAGTCATGCTAAAGTAAAAATAAACAGAAAATGAAAACACACAAAAGCCAGAAACTTCAAACTGTCTCATTTATGTATTTTTTGTACTTTCATATCTCGAAGTTGGAGCATTTTTGCATTTTGAAGAAGCTTAAATAATTCATCTGCAATGCAGGTAGAGGAGGAAAGCTGCATGGAGGCACCGCTGACTGAACTGAGCGCTATCTGTGTGAGACATCTCTGGTGTATAGAGAAAAGCTCAACAACTGCACACCACCTTGGTAACAATGGAAACTGGAAAAGCAGAACGCTGCTGACCGATTAGCTTTAAAACAGCTCACTATAAAAAAATAAATCCTGACGTCATTTTTAAAGGATGCTATAATTTGCTCCAAAAAGATGAATGATAGGCAGCAGGTGGAAAGAACCAACTTAACTTTGCATTTACTGGGGCTTAATTCACGCTTTTGAGTCAAATCTCAACTTTTCTGATTACTGAATATGATAAGAATACTGACAGCAACACCAGATATAGCACTGGAAATAAACTGGAAAAAAACAGTTTTTACATTTTGTGATGGGAGGAAAAAAAAGTTTAAATCATAAATCGGGATAATCTCAAAATAACTTCATTTCCTTCTGGTTTCCAACCCACCGTCTCTGTCTGCAAAATGATGAGGTCAATAACCAGGATGCACTGTAAGGGTGGGCGATACGATCTTAAAGTTTTATCACAATATTTTGTGGTATTATTGTGCCAAAAAAGGTGACTGTGTGTCACAGCAATTGTAGCCCCACAAATACTGCGCTTATAAAACATTCCCATTTATAATCTGCTTCTTTAGGACATCAGCCACATAAAAAAAGTATCATTTAAACTGTGACTGTATTTTTTAAATTTATTGATGCCATTGCTGACCAAATAATAGAGAAGAAAGTAAACCTATCAATACCACAATAGGTGCAGTTTTGGGAGGTTCTAAGCATCGTTAACTGGAATTTATTGTAGCAATAAATCAAAATTTTTATGATAAGTGTATTGCAATAAATGATAAACGATACTATAAATGCTCAACCCTAATCGAACGTACGCATCAGAAAAATGCAGAAATCCCCCATCCAAACTAGTGTTTGTTACGTTTGATTGTTTTCGGCAAATGTGTTTCCATCTGCCTTTAAAGCACATCAAGTCTTCTTGGAACAGCCAAAAACCACCTTAAGATTGGCATTTATGATGCTAAATTTCTTCTAACATTTATATTTGTCACAATAAATTCCAGTTGAATTCCAGCTCCAAAAGCTCTCCATATTGTCAAAAGATTTTTTTTTTACCAATTTTGCTTTTTCCAATCAACCTTTTCTAATGTGAATGTGGATGGAAACGCGTCTTGGAGTAGAAGTGAAAGGGAAAAATATTTTCCTACTTATTTTTTTTTTAAATCAGGGTCAACCAGTTCCGCTTTACACAGCACATAAGAGTGCTAATAATAGAAACAGCTTTTAAAGACAAAGAATTCATTCAGCCCACAGATTCATCACAAGGGGTACCAACGCATCAGACTGCAGTTTGCCTTAAGTGTGAGCAGCTCACCCACTCATCGCAGAAATCATGTTCAAATGTGCATTTTTGCCTAAGTCGCTTATTAGTCTAGAGAAGGAAAAAAGGAAAAAACGACAGCCAAAACATGATGCTGGTGAGAGGCAAGCTATTTATAGGCTTACTCCAGTGCTGGAGACAGCTCTTCCCTTATGTTTGGGATCGGCGCTTCACATGAGTGAGAGGAGGAAAGAGGAGGAGGAGGCTGGCTCTGAAAGTTGAACTGCTATTATTCCCTCAGTTCTGCTTCGCATCCTTAATGCAGGATGATCAGAACCGAGAGAGTCTCTGAAAACAAACTTCAGAGAAAACTCAACAAATCGCCCCGAAACTCCACAGGAGGGCAGATTTGATACAGAGCACACTTTTTATTTCTAAAATAAAAATACTCTGCAGCTGGTTGGTCTATGCTGCGGGTCGGGGGTCATTTGTGGCAAGAGTGGCAAAAAAAGAAAATGAAAGACAAAGCAAGAAAATCTGGAAATTGACAGTCTGTTTTTATATATATATATATATATATAATATATATATATATATATATATATATATATATATATATATATATATATATATATATAATAAATGATTAATTATCCCTCTAGATACAAGTCTGAAACTGTTTTATGAGTAATAACCCAGGTTGGGATTCGAACCCAGGACCTTCTCGCTGCAAAACAAAAAATCTGTCCCACGGTATATCTCCCCACAGCATTATGCTACCACCACCGTGTTTCACCATGAGGAGTGTGTCTAATTTGCTTAAAAGTTATTTGCTTTTTAAAATTATCTTAATGTATAAATTGAGTTTATCAGTGTCACCATATTGTCAATATGCCGAAAATCGCATCATCTTCCATTTATCGTAATAAATTTATCATCATGATAGGATTTTGATTTATTGTTGTCACAATAAGTTGGTGTTTAAAAACTGTCTATGTGCTCAGGTTTGTTATGGTTTGTATTTTTTTCAACTATTTGATCAATAAAGCTGTTTCAATAAATATGAGCATATGGTTAAATATGAGCATTTTAGTGATAGTAAACACTTTTTAAAAGAAGCATTTTAGAAATGCTATCCATTTTAAGATCATTATTTGTTCTTGTGAGGCTGCAATGCAGTCACAGCCAAACAGTTAACTAAAAAAAAAACAGTTTGTGTCGTCACTTGTATTGTTATACCACAAAATATCGCAATAAATCTTCAAATCCGTATCGCCTCACCATACCGCAAACCCACAAAAACATTCAAAACAGCTAGACAGGGTGTAGAAATGAAAAGAAAATGTTTATTTCTTAAAGTGCGGTCTAGTTCATAAGCTATACGTCTTCTATACTATATTTCATAGGAAGGAGAATATATTTCCACATTCGTCTGTAAATGTTAGTGTATTTTTTGCTACTTATTTTCATAGAGCTGCTGCACATAAGATTTATATTTAAAGTAGATTTCTAGGAGCTTTTTCTCTACAAATGTCGCAACACTTTATTGACCATATCCATGCTGGGACGCGCCGGTGTCCTGGGAAACCGGCGACGCCTTTATAGGCGACACTATAACGGTCCGAGTCATGTCAACATCACCCGTTATTCAGCCACAACCTGGACACGGCGTGGACTGCGTGGGGCAGAAAACAAAAGCCACCGGGTGTGTTTATCAACAGAGACACTCACATCTTCGAACAGGGATCCAACGTTGGCTGTCACCAGCAGTATTTTTGCGCCGCACTCTTCTGACATTCCTGCCGACATTCCTGCCATTAGGGTTGCCATCTGGAGGCTCGGCAGTTGAGACTCTCACGGCGGGCTCTGGAGGCTCGAAGAGGCGCTTGAAACGAACCAGGAGGAGGGCCGACGGCCGCGTTCAGGAAAGCGGTTAAAACGCGGGGAACCTGCGCTTGAAACCGGGATTGTTGCTGCCGCGGAGGCTCGGCTGGAGCATATTTTTTTCCCTCCCCTCTCCTTTAGCAGTGGTCGTGCATCTAACCAGGAGTTGCTGCTTGCGGTGACAGAGGCTCCGTGTTCTGCGGCGGCGGCTGCTACTTTTCCACGCTCAGGATCATCGTGAAAAGTTTCCCGTTTTAATCCACGGTGAGCGGCTAGATGGCTTCAGCGGGGAAGGCTTTCCAACCTTTTTGAGCTGTGTAAAAAAACTCCCCCTCCTGAAGCTGGACGCCGTGCCAGGACCGTAGCTTTCATCGTTAGCCGAGGATAGGCTGAAGTCCTTCGCCGCTCTGACGTCACCGTGCCAATGGAAACACGGGACTCTCTTAAAGGGCCCGCGCACCGTAAACACAGGATCCCCCTCAGCCACCGCCTCGACGTCATTCATTATCGGACAGTGCGCCATTTGATTGGGCTATCTCAATTTGTACTCATGCAACATCTTTTTATATCATTGTTATTTAAATCAAACTCAATGAGGTACACTTATAATAATTTCAGTCCAACTTTTGTCTCCTAAAGAGGTGGGTAGAGAATCCAAAAAACTGTAATCAAGTACTACTGACATGTTTTTACTCAAGTAAAGCTAAAAAGTAGCTATCCAAATAAAGTTAAAAAGTACTTAATAAAAGGTGCTGATTGTTCAAGATCAAAACATTTTTAAAATAATTTTAAATTTTTTTTAAATAAGTTGCTCAATGTGTATTTGTTTCATAAATCAAAAAATAAATTATTAAGAATAAATAATTTAGAACAACCTTAACAGGACAGTTCAATTATGACTATCTTGAGCATAAATAAATAAATATTAAATGTCTTCAAGGTATCGCAGTGTCTGCAGTGTGTGTGAGTTAAACCTTATATTTCTGAATGTAGTGAGTGTCGAGGTTTGTAGAGATTATAGTGGCCCTCAGACTCCCACTGAAAGGCTTGTGCTGCTTTAATTAACAACATTAACATGTTTTTATTGGGGGATGGAGAGCTTACAGTCATGGATAACACGTGTCTATGAGAAGAGCCAAGAGATTCTCACCAAAATGTAAATGCTCACAGCTGTGTCTGGCATGAGAGACACAGAGTTTGTCTGTGTGTGTGGGTGTGTGTGTGGGTGTGGGTGTGTGTGTGTGGCATTGTATTTGACCATTTTCCTTGCACATACAGAGTTGTGGTTGGTTTAGGGATAAGACTAGTCAGGGTTAGTAAAGCTTAAGTCAAGTTTATTTATATAGAACATGTCTGCAACAAGGCAGTTGAAGGTGCTTCACATTATGAAAACAATACAGTCACTACTTATGAAATATAAAATAAATATTGAATTTTGTTTAAAGGCCATCATGAAAATCATCCAGCAAATATATTGATCAGTGTTCCATTCAGTGTAAATCAAAGGGAGCTCAAAATAGGTGGGTATTTAGTCTTGATTTAGAGAAACCTTTGGCAGTTTCGCAGTTTTCTTGAAGTTTGTTCCAGATTTGTGGTGCATAGAAGCTGAATGCTGCTTTTTCCTGTTTGGTTCTATAGAAATGAATGGATGACAATGCAAAGTCCTGCTGAAGATATAAAAACACATCTGTGTGTTTTTTCTTTTGCATATTCTGCATATTGAGGACCTCTTTCACCAACAGAGGGAGGACATTTGTAGAATGTTGTTCTGTTAGGTTTAGAGGCAATTACTAAAATAAAGGAAGTTAATGCAAAGTCCTCAGTTTGCATAGAAGAACAAGAATGTATGCGACTACTTATGTCACACACGCGGATTTATGCATGGAAATGATATGCAGCAGAATATCCGTAATCAGTGACTCAGCTGTGGAAAAGCATGCTAGGATTTATACAGCAGGAATTAATACTACTACTAATGTGTGTGTGTGTTTTTTTTTTTTTACTCTGTGTGTGCACACATCGAGAGCTTTAATTGAAAAGGGCTCAAAGCAGCTTTGAAAGCAATCCAAATATGATGATGCTTCTTTAGCCGATTGTCATTCCAGCTCCTACTGCACTGAATTTAGCATTATCAGGCATTATCTGCAAGTTGTTTAAACCTCAAAATTTGCTAAGCTCAGCATTTGACAGACTGTCTTAGTCTGTTGTAAATCATCCAAACAAATAGAAGTTAAAAATGAAAGGTTTATTAGAGGACATCCTGAATATTCAGGCTACATTCTGAGTGCAGACTGAATATTTGCCTTATGTGAGCAGAAAACAAAAACGGAAGAAAATTTTTAAAAATGTTTTGTGAAACATGATTTTAAAAATGCAATGCTTTGTTCCCATGAGAAATAAAAACAAACACTGTGGTAACATGGAAAGATTTACCTGAGGCTGCATGTCGGAAAGAAGTTTGTAGCAGCTTTGGGAGGGGAAGGGATTAAATTAGGTCCCAAAAGAATCTGATTTGATCCCTTTCATGGGATGGATTAAAGTAGAAGACGTTCAAAGCAAACTACCTTGTCTGCAACCTAAACCTGCTTGCAGACAAGCAGCCTTGACTGACTGCTTGTCCAGGCAAGACTGCAAATAGCTAAGAGAAGTCTAACAAACCCATAAAATGTCATTGTAGGGCCAACTACAGGCTCTTGATGTAGTGGATGATCATACAGACTGCAGAAGTAAACTTTTATGAAACAGCAAGAAGGAACTGAGAATGAGTTTTATTCATACTGGGAAAATTGATCACTGATCGAGGAGCAGGTGACTGATTAGAAACGAGATGCAGTTGTGAGGGGAAAGAGAGAAAAATGGCACAAGGGATTAGGAAATGAATCTCACACTAAAGAATAACTAGACCTAATTAAACTAGAGTAACGAGGAGTAAACATAACTAGAAACTGTAAGAAGGACTGAACTAAAGTAAATTAGAAACAATTCTGATCTAATCAAAGAAAAAGACTAAGGAACACAGAATAATAATGAAACTAGAACCAAATAATCAAAACAACCCAGGTTCGGACATTGTGTGCCACCACTTTTCCTATTATTGGTCAAACTGAGTGGATCTGTTCTTAAAACAGAGTAACATGAGACGCATGCACAAGTCTGGGCAGGTAGAGTTATTAGTCCTGACATGGTGCATATGGGTCAGTAAATACTGCACTGTGTTCTGTAGATGGAAAATGCCAAATAGGAGTCCGCAAGTGAGTTGTGTTGTTGTGTGTGTGGTGTGTGTGTGTGTTGTGTGTGTGTGTGTGTGTGTGTGTGTGTGTGGTGTCCACTGATAAAGAAGCTCTACTCACTGCCCACAAAGCCCCCGTGTCTGCTGTGGGTAATGGAAAAAAATTGTGTTTAAATGCCAGACTGCTAGCAAATATGTGCACTTTGACCCCGATCTTACTAAGACTTAAATTCAGTTATCTAAAAATAGACAAACCTGGAAAATTATCAGGCGTTCACATGTCTTCGAGGGAGCACATGATAATGTATCCAGACTCAGTCAATCTGAGGTTTTTATCTCCAGCTGCAACTCGGGGAATCAGTCATGTGGATCTGATCTGTCGGTCTCATGAGACGTTTGCTTTGCTAGCTTGGGAATTTAACGTGCCGGAGCAAAAGTTTTCTTTCTTCAAATAAATATTCCTGTCACTTTAGTGAAATATTTACCCACCAAACAACACATTGTTGGAAAACAGCTGGAATAGGTTTTGCTCAGTGAACCATAATTTAGGAAACCGTAACATTATTTACTGTGTTTTAAAGGACAAATACCAACACATTAAAATCTGTTTCTCTTTCCTCTACAGTTATGTAGATCATGAAAGCTTTATTAAATTACATCAATGTGTGAACCAAAATCCAGAAATATGTTGAAGCATAAAAAACAGCAAATGTGAGAGATCAAAGAATCCATTATGCTTTACTTAAAGTTAGAAGTAGAGGAGAAATTTTGACTAAGACCAACAGCGTCGATACCTATAAAACAGGGACTTTACAGAAGGGTTTGAAGCATAAGTCTGCCTGTAATTGTGTTTCAATCCATCAGTCAAGGGATTTTTAATGAACTTTTAAAATTTTGCGCAAAATATATTAAAGTGGTTTGGATCGAGTCAACCAGGCTATGCAGTCCGTGATTTTGTCAGATGTTGACATTATGCATGGTTGTGATAATCAAGTATATGTCAGAACTTATTCAGCAAATATGTGTCCGTCTCCCCTTTTGCGCATTAACTCTTTTTCAGAAAAGCCCAAAACCAGCTCAAGTGTGAAAATGTTTCTGCGAAATTCAGGAAGTTATTTTGAATTTTGTGGTTTCCATCAACCTTTTCTAATGAAATACTTCAAAATGGGCATCAAAAAAAGTCTAATGGAAATTATCTGCGGTATTTTTCAGACTTCTCTTTTCTAGCAGCTGTGGTTTTTATCCTAGAAGATTTTATTTTATTTTTGCCAATCTAGTTTGTGACAAAAATAAAAGCTCATCCAACCAATTTGTTGAGACATTTCAACAGATTGTTGATAAAAAACGTTTTTGTCAAGTAAAAGGCCCTTTCTGTGTGAGATTTCCAGGTTGTGATGTTACATACGTTACATCATCACTGATAAACAGAAGTGCAAACCACACCATCCTCAGTAGATAAGACACCTCACAGCATCATCTCATGATTTTTCCTCCACTGACTTAAATCTCATTTAATCATTCATTTTCTTTTTCCAGCGGCTGGAAAAGGAAGAAGGATGAAACTTCAACTAAACTTCTTAAATTGGTGTCTGTTGTTTCATGATTGGATCTAATCCAGAGTCTATTTCCAATTAAATGTAAAACTTTTATTCCAGAGTGAGCGAAAGATGACAGAACCAGTAAAATGGATAACAGTGAATCTGACCCAGTATTTCATTAACAAACCTTTTATTTAATAAATAAAAAATTTAATTACTCCCAGATCCACCGAGTTGCTTTTTCAAATTGGTTTGATGTAAAATTAAGAAACTAAATTTTAACCAAAGATTTGTCAATGTATTTAACTGGAAAACTGAATTTTATTTTATTTTTTTAAAGGTTTTCTTGAAAAAAAAAGCAAATTAAACTTATGGAAGAAACACAAAGTGGCAGGTAAACAGACAGGCAGAAACACAGTGGCAAGCGGTGTGACAATTGCAGGACTGGCAAGCGAAGATCTACCAACAAGTAACAGATACTGACAGGAAAATAAATGCAGGGGAGCCAGGAACATGTGAGGCTATTACATAGAATGAAAAGTGGAGTAAACAGAGGACTGTTTAATGACAGAAGTATAGAAAAGCAACAGAAGATGACAGAGAAATTGTTAATGAACACAGAATCAAAACAGGAA